AGACGGTGGTCCCTTCAGTAGGTCCGGGAAGAGGGCTCAGAAGGCCGCTTTGGGAGTGAAACCACACAAAATCAGTCCTGACGAGAGCAGCGAGCGGACCCAGGAGCAGGGCACTTCGTATGTTGACAGATCCTGCCAAACCGTCTCCCAAAGTGACGCAGCGCTTTTCACCCCTGCCCAGGGTGACCGGACGCCTGTTTCCCACCATCTCCATCAGCCCTAAGTATTGGCAATGAAAACAGTTCTTGCCAACTTGATGGTTAAATGATGCAGATTTGATTTGCATTTTTTTCACTTGGGCAATTTAGCATCTGGTGGGAGACACCAAGGGAGCCCGCCCAGGTGAGGGTGACTGTCACTTGGGGGACCTCACGGCCAGGGTCCGGATAAGGTCGGGCAGTATGCACCAGGTGGATGGGAAGGGTCCGACTTATTAAGCTGACCCAGGACCAGCTGGCTGGCTCACGGGTGGGGGACACGTAGGGCCCACCTCAGGCCTGTCCCCTAATCGTGTCCTTGGCTAGACCTGCTGAGTCTTGTACCCGCCCCACAGGGGGCTGGCCGGGTGACCTGCTGCTGTGCCTGCCAGCCCCCGCCCTCGTCCCTCTTGTGTTCTTGGGGCTCCAGGAGTCACTAGGCCATGGGGACAGGGCTGGGGGCTTGGGGGCAGGTGTCCCAGCAATGCCTGTCCAGGTGAAAAGAGCCGGCCCCCAGAGAAAGTGTGGGGCCAGAACAGGGGAGCCGGGCTCCCCAGAGGGCAGTCTCTGGGTGACCATGAACTGGGCCCCAGCCCCCTGCACCCGCTCACGGCCACCGCGGCCATGCAAGTCTGCAGGGCCTGCTCCCACCACGCTCGTCACTGCTCCTTCCCAAAGCGCTTCCAAGAGCCAGACCTACTGCCAGAACCTTAGGACCAGAAGGGGAAGACACACGTGTCAAATTGGACACCAGCCGGTGATCAAGATGGCACGGCCCGCTCGTGCACCCCCCCAACGGCAGAGCAGCTGCAGCCCCGGGCACTGGGACACTGGCCTGGGTGTGTCCACACCACCCGGCCTGACACCCTCACACACAGTCACCAGCTTTGAATGGCAGCATGGCACTGCCAGTGGCCACGTTAAACCCTTCATTCCAGGAGTGTCCGTATTTGGTGGCAGCCACAGCACGTCCAGTCACATGCCACATGAAAGCAGGAAGTAACGACTCAGAAAGCCACATCCCATCACGCCGGTGCGGTGTGTGCTCGTGGGCGGCGGGGACCGTGAGTGCCAACCCTGGCCCTGCTCTGGTCCCACCGAACCCCTGCCTCCCAGATTGCAAAGCAGGCTGATGAAGTGCCTGACCCAGACACGGAGCAGAGTCCACTCTGCAAGCTCACATTCCTGGGACGGCCAATCTTGCCTGCTCTGGTTTCTGGGGCAACATCCGTCATTGGTTATGTTACATGATGTGAGCGGGGGAGGTGAGCTCCCATGTCCCATGGCCAGGTGACATGGCACCAGGGGACCTGGCAGGGGGACGGGGCCATGCCGAGCGCCCCTGGGCTGCTGCTGGCCAAGCGCCCTGCCTGTCCTCCCCACCGGGACCTGCTGGGAGGCACCAGCGCACAGCCCATGCATGCAAAGGCAGGCGACTCATTCTGATTGCATGTGACAGGAGAAGACCACCCACGGATGAGAGAGCGCTGCCGTGAGAGTCCCCAGGTTACTGCGGGGGATGCGGCAGAACCAAGTGTGTTTTCCCCAAGGAGCCACACTACCACTGGGCTTAATTTTTAATTTTTACATTTTAATCAAAAATAGATCGAATGGTGGGGGTCTCTCGGGGGAGACGCACTTCAGACAGGAAGCCGGCCGAGCTCCGTCAAACGTGCCGCCACTGCCGCAGGGGTGAAGGTGGCACCGCCGTGGCCCCGGGGGCCAGGCGGGGGGTGGGGGGCGCTCCGGGGCACCAAGGCCACCGGCAGCTCTGGCTGCTCCAGCCCAGGTGTAAACGCCGGCGGGAGGGGCCTCTCCAATCAATCAACACCGCACACAGGGCAGGCCTCCGAAGCTGCCTGGAGCGGCCACTCACGTCCCCCGGGGTCAGGGGCAGAGGTCCCTTTACCTGTGCGTCTGCGTGTGCACACCTGCTCTTTAAGGCTCCTCACTCTAGAACCAGGCAGGGTAGTTTTCCCACTGTGAGGAAAGGCATGCGCCTCATTGCCCCGGGGCCCACAGGGGAGAGGGGTGTCTTCTGTCCACCATAGTCGCCTGGCTTATCGCATCCCGGGGACTTGGAGAGCAACCACCCAGCCAGCTGTGCAAACCGGAGGACGCTTCTCCGGGCGAGGCGCTCTTCTCTGTGTAACGCAGCGGGGCCGGGCGGAGCCCATGGCGTAGTCTCGGGGATCGAGGGCCCGCCGCGAGGCACTGGAGGCTGCACATTCCTGCTCACTGCTGTCGTCTTGCCAGCGCAGGTGACGGAGGCAGGCTGCATTCTCTCATCCCGTGTCCACTCGGACGGCCGAGGGGCTGTTCAAGGCCCGAGGGGGCTGGGCGCTTGGCAGGGAAGTGGACAGCAGGGGCCACCCAGGGCCTCCAGAGCTCAGCCCCGCCCAGAGGCCACTGCAGAGCCTGGTCAGCGCCCACAGCCCTGCCACCCATGGAGTCTTTTGGAGGACGGGGGTGTCCCCCATGTGTCACCCTCGGGCTCAGTTCAATGGCATTTGATTTCTGCCTGCATCTCTGTGGCTCATCACCCACAGGCTTTGCAGTGGACCGTCTGGCGCCCTCTGCAGGCCGGAGGACCACAGGGGCCAGGAGAAGGCTGCTCTGGCCATATCCCCTGCTGGGTCCCACCCACCACTGCCGGGGGTGGGGCCTGAGCCTGCGGGTGCCCCATCCACAGGCCAGTGGGGCAGAACCCCGCCCCCCATGACCTGCACATCTGGATCCCGCACCTGTCTCCCTGCCAATCCCTTGGCCCATGGCTTGGCTGGACAGGTAAGGTCCCCAGTGGCTGCTGCTGGGGCCACCACGGCCCCTTCTATTGGCTACCGCTGGGACTATTGGAACAGCTGTGTGAGGCCCCAGCTCAGGACACAGGGTAAGGGATTCAGCTGTAGTTCCCCACGGTGGTGGGGTGGACCCAGGGGAGGCGAGGCCTGCAGGGACAGGTTCAGGCTCCTGGACCACCCACCGGCCCCACGGTCACCCAAGACCCCGCAGTGGATTGACTTTCCTCACGGGCCCTGCATGTGGAGAAAGCTCCCTAGTGACTAATGCGGAGGCCACGGAACGCCCCGGCTCCCGTCCTCAGTGTGGTCCCCGTGTGTCCCCAGTGGTGGGGCCTGGCTTTGTTTCGATGGGCCGGGCGCAGTGCGCCCGGGCTGGCTCTCCTGTCCTCGTGCCCCTCGGGGCTCGCGCAGGGGTGAGGAGGAGCGGCCCCCTGGGGCTGTGCAGGGCTCCTGCCCCCAAGGGCAGTGTGAGGAGACCTCGGGCGGTCCAGGCTCACACGGTGCCACTCAGGTGGCTCCTGACTGGGCAGTCCCCTTGTTTGTGCTTTGCTGCCATGGGGGGGCAGGTTCTGTCTGGGCCACATGGGATGGATGCCACTCCCTGTCCTGGAGGGAGAGCTTGCCGTTGCGGTGGAGCCTGGGGGTCAGACTCAGAGGACCCCTCGTTCAGAGAGTTTGAATGTTGAAGGAAACATTTAAAATGCCAAACGGAGAACTTCAGGTGTCCCTTGTGCGCTGCCAGGAGTCAAAGCAGAGAAAGTGGGACATAGGGCAGCACTTAGGAAGTGACTCTCCGATCAAGTTCAGGGTTATTTCAAGCCTCACGGTCAGTGTCGGGTTTCCAGGCTCCCTGCCACGTGCGTGCCTCACACACGGAGGGACCCTGGGCAGCTGGGGACACGGGACCTTGGAGCTGGAAGGGCCTCCTCTGGCCCCTGCTACACCTCAGGCCGCTCTCCACCTTCCCAGCACCCACTGGCTCCGGCCACGCCCATCTGCTGCTTTTGTTAAGACCCCAGCTTTCCAAGAGTGATGCAGAGTGGGAGAGTCCACTCTGAATGGGGCCCGGCCGCTGCGGGGGCTGCAGAGACCCGGCCTCAGACCCCCGGAGGCAGGCCTTCTGGTCCTGGCATCTGCCTCCCAGGCACCGGCGGCGTCCAGAGTGAGGCTGGGGTCACGCCAGGGCCGCCCAGGAGCACGTCCACCTGTGCTCTGGAGTTGCCGCTGACCGTGAGGCCGAGGGGACAGTGGCCGGTTGTGGAAGCTCTGCAGTCTGCACAGAATGCCACCAGCCTGGCCTCTCCAAAGGCTGGCCTGGGGGCCACAGGTCCGGAGCCGGTCTGTTCGTCCCCCGGATGCTGGTGAGACCAGGGCCTGAGGGAAGCGTCTGCAGAGACGAACACGTCTCCTCCAGCTGTGTCCTCCAACCTCAAGTCCAAGGGGAGAGTGCTGGCCACTAGCCAAGGGAGGCAGCTCCCTCAGTGGTGACCGCAGGGCGGAGGACTCTCTGGGGGGAGGGGACGTGCCTGAGCCCTACTGGGGAGACTGCGTGGGACCCTCCGTCCAAAGCACCCACCTTCCTGCCCATTGTCTGCACATCCCGCGGCCCAGCCGGTGCTCACTGGCGCCCCCCGGCTCCTCGTCCGCCCCTATCTGGTCTTCCAAGGCACAGCTCCCTGCAGGACCACCGGCTGCTCACGGTCTGGGCAGAGAACCGGCCCACGTGGGGGACGCACGACGTCCCTGGAGCACGGGGCTTCATCCCGCCTCTGGTCTGGCAAGGGAGAGAAGCTGAGAGCCATCCTGTCACCCACTGCACCAGTCGGGACCTTGCCCACAGGGGACCAGACATCTCAGGGGGCCTCCAGATGCAGGGAAGACGGCCCCGGTCCCCCCGTTAGGCGATACGCTGAAAACACAGGATGAAAGCGAATCGGCCATTTCATACCGAAGGGGCCCTGTGTCTCACACACCGGGCTGCAGAATCACAGGGGACAGTTTGGATACAAGCATTTACTAAAATCAGTTCCGGATTACAGGGCACAGAAGTACAAAAATAAGGGTTTCCACTAGAAAAGAGTGCACGGACAGCCCTGGGGCGCCCAGTGCCCCTGGGACAGGTAAGGCGAGGCTGCGTCGGGCTGGGCTCCCTCCCCAAGCCACGGGCTCTCCGACCTCAGGGACTCTGGGGCTGACGTTTCTGGAAGACAGCACTGGCCGTCAGCACAGATCCACAGGAAGAAGGCTTCGGACGTGCCGGCAGTGTGCAGGCTCTGGAAGTGCCGGGGTGCCGGGCTCGACCGCGGAGGACGGAGGGTTACCCGGCTCGGGGGGCAGGTGGGCGTCCCCATCCGTCCGTAAGAGGTTCACACTCGCCACCACATGGAGACTCACAACCACAGCTGGAGTGTCCCTCCGCCGACTCGCCCGCCTAGTTGTTCTCAATGTGGCTGAAATGTCCCTGAAACGACACAAGAGCAGGGGTGGGCGTTGACTCCACTGACCGGACCCCTCAGCAGGGGCCCCGTGTTCGCCACCCGCGGCCCCGTGTCTCCAGGGCCCGGGCTCCACCTGTGAGGGAGGCCGTGCGCATTTACGGCGGCGCTGCAGTCCGTGTGTGCGGTGACAGCCGCGAGGAATGCGGGGCTGGGTTTGTTCATCGGGCCTGTGTCCCGCTACGGTCTAGGAAGGGCATGTATCACTAGCACCCTTTTACAAAAGGACATTTTGGAAATAGACATGGAAGAAAATTACACAGGTGTCTTTTTTTGTTTTTAAAGATTTTATTTGTTTATTTAGAGAGAGGGGAAGGGAGGGAGAAAGAGATAAACAGAAACATCAATGTGTGGTTGCCTCTCACATGGCACCTACTGGGGACCTGGCCTGCAACCCAGACATGTGCCCTGACTGGGATTTGAACCAGCAACCCTTTGGTTTTGCAGGCCAGTGTTCAATCCACTGAGCCACACCAGCCAGGGCTAAACAGGTTTCTTTGCGGTGATGCTCAGGGTCTTTAATAGTCTAATGCACATTAAATTTCCAAAAAGGGGGGAAGGGGATGCAGCATTTTTCAAACTCCTTTGGCCAGGAAACTCGTCCTGAGCCCCTCGGCAGCAGGGCCCCTCAAGGAAGGGCAAGGCCCTGGGAGGCTCCCCACAGGCTGCTGGGGAGGAGGGCGTGGGGTGGGCGGAGTCAGGAGGCAAGAAGACAGGACTGGGTGGGAGAGGGGCAGATAATGCTTCTTAGTTAGTGTCTTCGTCGTCGTCATCGTTGCCCCCACCACACGGCTCAGAAAACGAAACGATGCTTTCAGACAGGTCCTCACCGGCAGGCCTCCCCCTGCCCCCCCCACCTCCCTGGCAGACAGGGGGGCGGGTCTCTGAGGATGTGTTGGCGGCAGAATGGGCAAGACTTGGGGACAGTTATGTAGGCGGAGCCACAGCAGTACAAGGACCGGGGCCTGGAGTCTTAAACCAAAGATCCTGCAGAAACGGCTTGTTTTGCCCCCGCAGCCAGTGCTCCGTCCCCAAAGACACGTCAGCTTCCCACGGGGCCCGAGGTCCAGCTGGCCACCGTCCCCCTCAGTAGCTGCACAGGATCTTCTCCGTGTCTCGAACATTCTTCAGTCTCCCTGTGTGAGTGTGTGGATACACCTGCCCAGCGGTGACCGCAGTCCTCAGGCACACACCGAGGACAGGTGACGACTAACCGACGCTCACGCACCATCACACAGCCCGAGAGACGACACCACACCACAGATGCCACCAAACCCCCCGAGCCCTGGGGCGCCGCCCCCTCGGGGACTGTCACCCCCTGAGCCTGACAGTTCTTTCTCGGGAGTCTTTCTGTTCTTTCTTCAGTAGGTTTGAATTTTCACACGTTTAGAGTTGTATCGACATGTTACCCTCACCCACACTGTCATCGGTTAAGTGTTATTTTGGCTGATTTGATGCTTATTTTGCATGCCCTTAATTACTAGTGAGGTTAAACATGCACTTATTGACTAACTGGGTTTCCTCTTCTCTTGCCAGTTCATGTGCTCTGCCCTTTTATTTTCCTGCTACTTCCTATTTTGTGTGTTGCAAACATTTTCCCTGCTTTGTGACACGTTCTTCAATAGTGAGGAGGGAACTTTAACATACCACATGTCTTCATACAGAGAGTCAAATACATGAAATTAAACCCTGTGGGTTTATTACATTTTATAAACCCACCTGGCCTCATAAACATGTTCTCCTATATTTTCTAATAAAAATTGAAAGGCATTTGGTCTTGGTTTTACACATTAGGTTCCCCCCCCCACCTGCCAGCACTTTTCGTGAGGCGGAGCTCCGATTCTGTCCTTCCTCACATTGGGGCGGCCCACTGTCCTCACGCAATTTACAGAAGACCCAGTCACTTCCAACCGATCTGTAATGACCTCTGTGACATATCAGGCTGCCATGTGTAACGTGCACGCGTGAGGCCCGTGGGTTTTACTCATCGGTCCGCGTGTCCGCTCCTGGGCTGTAACACGCCCTCTGATCGCCGCAGCTGGTCACGTGTCTCGGTGTCTGGCAGGGGGTCTCCCTCGCCCTCTTCCTCTGCCTCCAAACTGTCCGGCTTTCCTCAACCCCAGGAGTTCTCGGCCGCTGCCTTTTCTGTCGTCCTGTCCTCTCCCACCTGAAATCCCCTCACCCTGGACTCCCTAACGGACCTGCTCACTCTTCCCTCTATGCCCCCTCGCATGCCTCCCATCTTTATTTCTCTTGACCTGTTTTGGAAGCCACCCGCCCCCCCAACCTGCCTTCTAACTCACAAAGTCCACCTTCAGCCGTGTCTAACCTGACACTGTCCCTTCGCCTTCAGCGACCACACCGTTCACTTCAGAAGCTCTTCTTTTTAACTTTCCAGCTACTTCTTCACACCGTCCTCGTCCTTCATTACGACTCTATTTCTTCTTCAATCCCTTTTAAAAATTAGAACACTGCCCTCTGTGAACCCCAGTTTCCTTGATCACTGCAGGTCCCTGGAGGCGTGTACTCTCCTCTTTGTGACGGCTCCTGAGCCCCGCCCCCAAACAGTGGCAAATCTGCTTTTGCCCGGTGATCTCACCCTTCTTCGCTCAGCTGGTTTGTCTTCCCCGTCTGTGTGCCCGGCGGTGGAAGGCTACAGGACAGTCCTGCACTTGTCACCATGATGGACCCTCAGGACTTCAATATCTGCCTGTCTCTTTATGTCAACACTTTGGCTTTTGGTTCTGGCGCTGCCGAGAGAGAATCCAATGGGAACCCGCACCCAGGCACGGCCGTGTCTGAATGTCAAACCCCCTCTCAAGGCACAGGCGGAGCCTCAAGGCTCTGAGCCTCGTGCAGGGTCCAAACTGTGGCCCCCTCACCTCCACTGGCCAAAGCCACATCTGTGTCTGGGAATCAGAATTCCACGCCTGGCCGCTGAGCCCAGTCCCGGGCCAAAGTGGACACAGGTGAAGACTCAGGACAGCCACAGGGGACGCGTCTGTGTCTACGTCTACGTCCCATCTTCGCTTCCTCTCTTCACTTACACAATTAACTGTGCGTTCCACGCCCCCTCTGCCGCAGGAGGGACACGTCTGTGTTAGTGTCGGCTAACGTGCACTGTTCTTAAAATGCTGATTTTCCTTCTATTCCTTTTCACTCTCGTAGATTAACATATTTATTCCTGGAGGAAGAAGTTTTTATTCTGTTCATCTCATCATCTGAAAGCACTGTGCTCCTTCCGAGCCAAGACATGATCTAAATTTGTAAAATGTTTTTAATAACACCGTTCCTGGTATCCACGTTCCAGAGAGACATCCACTGTCAGAAGCTCGAGCGGAAGGTTTCGTCAGTGAATCCGCTCAAGCGTGTCCATGTCAGGATTCACATCTGGCCGTGGGGACACAGCCACAGCCTCCCCTTGGCCAGTGTTTCTTGCCCCGTTGGAGTAATTCAGCCCTGGGTCTGAGCCAAGAAGCTCTCCTGATGTCTGGAACCAAGGTCCACACAGACCCTGCCTGCTACGCCCCTTGGGGAAGGGGGAGTGGGCCCCTCGCCCAGAGTGGAATTGAAGCCACCACAGCACCGTGGCTGTAGGCCCCCCTGCCAGCACAGCAGGGGAGGGCCCCGGAGCCCAGGCCCCCGACAACCTGACCTGGGTGCACGGCAGGCCCCTCACTTAAACCGAGGACCTCCCCGCCCTTATCTCTATCTCCAGGACCTCACCGATGGACCCTGGGGCCCTGACACCCAGAAGGGGCAACGCACGGGGCACAGTTTCTCCCCACAGATGGGTCAGGGAGACCCTGAGGGCGCCTCTCCGTCCCCTTCTCTCAGGGTGTGAGGGTAAAGGGCTGAGAAGGACTAGCTGTTGCCGGAACGGGCCGAAGAGCGAGCGAACCACTCTGCCTTCATCAGTCCTCCTTCGTCTGCGTCGGAACGCCCCGTTTCCCCCCCTGGCCTCGGCCCCGGCCTGACACCGGCCTGCAGAACAGAGCACGGCAGGCCCAGGAGAAAGGCGGGCGGACTTGCTTCCACCGGGCCTGGCTCCACTCCGGCTCCTCGGCAGTATCTCCAGATGCTACAGATGTGCAGCGCCATCACCGATGAGACAGACAGGCAAACAAATAAAGCAAACATGGTAAAGGTCACCCATCTGGAGATAAAAGACGTGAAGGAAAATGTACGTCCATTTAGAATCAGTGATCATCCGACTGGGCCCCCCACCCCCATCCCTACAGGCCAGAAGAACCAAACCACCCTCCTCGCCCTACGTCTCTGCCCCTGCGGCGCCCTCCCCCCACGGTCAGGTCGTGGGGTCAGTGTGGAAACGGGACTGGCACACCGGGCTCCCCCTCCAGGAGCTGCCGTCGGCTCCAATGACCAGGCCGGGGCCCGAGATCAGTTTGGGAGGAAGTGGGGCAGGGGTGCTGGTCTGCGACACTGAAAACCACGGTTTCCGTGTTGGTTTTCAGTTTGAGCGATAAAACCCGCGAACACCAGATAAAGGAAAGCAGAGAACACCAGGGGTGGGCAATATTAAAAGGCCCAACAGTTTTTCAGTTTGACACCCCCCACCCCTGTGCAGCTTAGCAGGAGCGGCCGGGCCAGCACGCCCGACGACCACGCTGAGCTCAGGACCGAGACCAGAGCCTCACGCTGGGCGCTCTGTCTCTCTCTGATCGTGAGGCCCAAGTTTAAAACCGCACTCTCTTCTTTCCTTTTCTTTTCCCAGGAGAATGTGTCCCCACACTCGCAAAGGCCAGAGGGAAGCCACACAGGGCAGGGCCCGGAGACTCAACTACCCCCACGGTGGGATGCCCACCCTCGGGCTGGGAGGACCAGCCGGAGCTGGGGCCACAGGGACCATCTCTGCAGGAGCTGGGACCCTGGAGAGAGGCGCTGAGAGGCCGCCCTAAGGACAGGGAGGGGGCAGTGCCCGGGCCCCCGGCCCTCCCACCACGCTCAGGTCCGGTGCCAGAAACCAGAGCAGACATGGAGCTGGGAGATGGAGCTGGAGGAGGGGGGCCGCGAACTGCCACCCGACCCAGGGAAATCCGAGGGGGGCCCCCTCCCTGAAGACGCCCGTGTGAGCGTGTCCGAGACCGATCCCCGGTGAAACGAGGTGCCGGGAGCACGGCACCTTCGCACCAACCCACACCCCACATCGGCGGTTCCCATGCTTTTCTGTCTTACAGGGCCAGCCCCTTTCCATGCATCTTTTTGGGTCATTTTGGAGAGCTTTGCCAGCCTTGTTAGGTCTCGTGTAACAGGTCTGCACTTACAAAGAACGGTGTCATTTCCACATTACACTAGGGACCCTACGGGCTGAGCAGGCCCGAGACAGGAAGTCTGCTCCTAGGCCCCAGTCCAGTGCTGGGGCCCCTCACAGAAGGAAAGCGAGCCTGCCAGTGAGAGTGACCATCGGCGCTGCCTCGGGACTTGCAGCGCCAAGCAGGGCCCAGTGGAGAGGGCAGCCGGGCCCCAGGGTTGTGGGGACCCGCCAAATGACATAACACCATGTCCCACTACACGAGCAGAGGACGGTTCTGTTCCAGCCGTCAGTAACCAGAGCAGAGGGACTCAGGGCTGAGAGGAGATGTGTCCAAACAAGACCATGAATACGGGCTGAACCTTCCCAGTGACGGCCAGAGAGAACTCCGTCAGCAACTACCGGAACGGCGTCATTGAGACGGCGAGCTGGAATGGACCGGAGAGAGACCAACACGCCCACCTGGAAATGAGCTTGAAAAGGTCTGTGGAGAGCCCTTGCCTTGTGAGGAGGCAAGACCTTGCCACGATGAGGATCGACTCCCGACAAGAATGAGGGCAAGTCAGGAACAGAAGGGCTGGAACTCGGGCGTGGAGCTGAGGCCGCCAGGCGGAGCTCAGAGCAGAGCTGATCCGATCCACGGAGACCCCACCAGGTCAGAAACACACCAGGGAATGGGGGGGTGCAAGGGCTATTGGGGGAAAGCGCCCAATAGGCAAAGGAGCACCTGCTAGGTTCCTGCTGGGGGTTCAGCACGAGCCCCGCCCCTGCCAGCCGGCCCCGCCCAGGACAGGAGGCGCCGGCATGAGGGGCAGCGCCAGCGGAGGGCCTGATGAAGCCGTCCCACACGCGGCCTCGCCCGCGGGTGATCTGTGTTAAGCACTGCTCTCTGGGATCCTGCACCGCTAAAAACACTATTTGCTTTTTATTTAGCGCTGAACTTTCAATGTTCTAGAATGCAAAAACCGTGTCTCATTATTTTAACAGCTTAGGAGGGAAACTGGCCGCGTTATTGGAAGAAGAAGATATATGCAGCTATGGCCTGTTCAAATGTCAAAAGCTGCAACTCTTCAGATTCACATTTCAATCCTTATTTACATTAGACTTTTAGAAAAAGTGGGTGTAAATATTAAACCTCCCAAGCCTGAGTGAAATTTTATTGAAAATAACTACAAATAAAGAGGAACTGATTTTTTAAAGTCGGTTTCTGAAATCTAGATGAAAAAGAATATCAAGCATTAACAAAAAATGATATATTTACATATCAATATAGGTCTTCTGCTCATAGACTCATTTCCTGTGAAACTCGGCAGAGGCGAGCTCAGGGAATTACAAAGGAAGGAAAAACCCTCATCAAATAGGTCCTGTTGCTCAAACAGACTATATTAGCCGGAACGATCCAATCAGTCACTGGAGCCAAATTTTTTTTCCCTGAAGCCCCTCGTGCGGGAACGCGACCTCTGAGAGCTCGAGGGCCGGTGTCTCGGCCCCGGGGTGCGCACCCCACGGGCGGGGCGGGGGAGGCACATCCCACTGCTGCAGGCTGAGAGGACAGAAGGGCAGCAGCAGCAGCAACGCACCAGGCCCAGAGTGGGTCACATTTCTCAAGGTAAATATTACTTCTCGGCGCTGCCGGGGACGTCTGACAGTCACGTGTGTCAGCCTGAAACGGTGAAGTTCAAGTGCCGGATCTCTGATCCCCCCGCCGCGCCCCCCATACAGAACTACACAACCTGCAGAGATTTTCCTGGAGACAGAGCACACACGCCCCCACGGAGTGACTCTGCCATGAGGCACTGTTGTCAGGCCTGTCTGATGGCTTCAGATGATCAGGGGTTCACGGCGTGACAACAGACACAGTTTCAGTCCTGGTTTAAAGCAACATCGCTGCCTACCACTGTAAAACACAGTAGCTCGACAGAGGATCTCCTTTGTTGACTCAATCCTTTGCTCATCAAAAACAGAACGATACAGTTTCTCCTGAAATCTTTCCGCAACGGCAGAAATGGGTGGACACACAGACACATGCAGACAGACACACGCACCCATACTCCTGGCTTCTGTGTGGACATTACACAATTCTACCTCACTGCAATATTAAGATTCCCGATTTTACATTGAATCACCCAAGAATTACAGAGTTATCAAAGATGTATTACCTTGTTCTTACAATGAGCTCAGAATTAATGACAAAGGCATTACTATGCTAATGCGCACAGGCGACCCTGCCTGCCACCCGCCCAGGGGGCACTCAGACTGCCTCTGCTTCGAACTGCCCTTGCAAACACCGTGCTTCTCCCGACACCTGCGGTTTGTGGGAAGTTTCCGGAGCAGGAAAGCAAAGCTGGCACAGAGACAAGGAGAGAAGTTGGTTCCTACTTGGATAAGTAAGTGAGGGTGGGCCTCTCTCCCAAATGTACGGCCAAATCTCTGTGTTCCTCATATTGGGTGGCCCACTGCCTTCCCTGAATCCTGCCTTTAAAAACATTTTAAATATATTTGCAATTTCCATTTCCAACTGCAAGCTGCAAACAAATCAGTTTGCGCCCCAGAAGAAAGCTAAGAAAAACTTAAACCAGCCTGTGCCGCTTTATTTACAGCCCTCATTCCTTGGAAGTGTAACCTCCGTTTTTGATGACTTTGTCTCAGGGACCTACAATTTACAAGCAGGTACGGCTACAGGACATGAGAAGGTTAAGGCACTTACAGACTCCCCTGCAAGGCACCTCGGGCAGGGCCGGGCTGAGCTCCTTCCACCGCTCGCAGGGATCTAGTCAACAAATCACAGCCACAGGCGGATCAGAACAGTGGTCACTGGCACTTTTTACGAACATTTAAGTGGATTCCCAGCTGGTGTGGCAGGGACAGGAACCTACCCCTGCAGTCGGTGGCCGCCGGCTCCGGGGCAGCGCCTCCAGCTCTTCGCCGCCCCCGCAGGGCCCCCGGGTGCTGGCCGGCACCTGCGGGCAGCCCCCATACTGTGCAGCCACGTCCAAACTCCGGCAGGCCCGCTTCTGGAACAAACAAAGTCGCACTTGAGACGGCCCGTAAAGCACACAGCACTCTAATCAGATCTGCTGCCTGCCAACTTCAGCGGTATACCCTGCGCCCGCGGAGCGGGAGAGTTTATGGGACATCTGAGGAGGAGACTTCAAACCTTATCTTCAGGAATAACCACCATCCATTACGTGTAACCACATTATTTCCTGAATTGTCTGATATTTACTTAGCTTTATAGATTTAAAATTGTCATTTTTAACAATTTGGGCAGAAACTCATAATAAACTATTGGGACTGGTTTATTGATATTGAAAATGCACAAAACCTATAAATTTTGTTCAAGAAACGAGTTCTGTGCTTCAGCACATTCTGCCAAGTGTCAGGTGGCAGCAGGGGACACACACATACGGGCCGTTCCTCTCCTCGCGGACATTGGACACCGAAGCTGAGTCGGCTTCACTGTGACCGAGGCGCATGCGGCCCGTGGCTACCACCTTCAGAAAAGCCAGCCCTTGGTTCCCACTCTCCCTGAACTAAGGACAAACTGCCAGACCGACACAGAAGCTACGGGGAAATCCCTCGCCCCCGCGGGGCTGCCACTGCACACCCTGCGGTCACACCGCCCTTGGGGACACAGCGAGACACCCAATCAGAAAGAAAATCTCAGTCCTGGCTGGTGTGGCTCAGTGGATTGAGTGCAGGCTGCAAACCAAAGTGTCACTGGTTCCATTCCTAGTCAGGGCACGTGCCTGGGTTGCAGGCCAGGTCCCCAGTGGGGGCCACATGAGAGGCAGCCACATACGGATGTTTCTCTCCCTCTCTTTCTCCCTCCTTCTAAAAATAAATAAATATTTTTTAAACACCACAGTTCAACACCCTAACAACATAACAAAACACATTCGGACAGACCTCTGAGGACATGAAAATCACCTTGAATCAGAAACACAAAATTAAAAGCAGGAAGGGACAAAAACAGGAGGAAAGAACGTAGGAAGTAAGGGAAGGAGAAAAGGAAACCGTGAGAGATGTGCAGTGTAATTAGAAAGTGCCCAGGAGAAGGGAGGCCACGTACGAAAGGTGGGGGAGGCCTCGCATGGCGAGAGAGACCGCTGCACGGGGCGGGGGGGGGGGGAGCAGGCGCGCAGCAGGGTGTGCGACGCTGTGCATGAAGGTGCTCGCCCACAGTGTCTCTGACGGCGTCGGCCACCGTGTTCCTCGAGGGGTGACGCGGTCCACCCGGCTCACTGCCGGCCCCCAGCCATCTGTGTGACGGGGAAGGTGGGGGTCCTGCATGAGGCCCACTCCGCACCTAGGTCCCCCCCACCCCGCGGGCCATCAGCCAGCCCCCCCCCGACTCCCCCGCCCACTTCTGGGTGACCTCAGACTTGCTGAGAAGGAAAGCCCAGGGCAGGGCTTGGGGACGCACGGGCGACCTTCGGAAACGTTTCTGCATGGGGTCACCTAACGACTGGCACATCAAGGTCCGCAAGCTTGCGATCATCCATGGTGATAAGCCCCTGTTCTTCAAGGGGCTCAGATGGCCGCAGAGGTCGGGGGCACACATGCTGTGGCAGGTGGAAGGAGGACCCATGGACACCAGGGTCTGGGTGAGGCCTGGGCCCCCCAGGGAAGGTGGGGACCTGGGCATGGTGACCCTTGGCCAGCTGAGTGGCCAGAATCACGCCTGGCCTCAGCCCCGCTGCAGCCCTGAGGGCCAACCGCAAGGCGCCGACCTGCACACGCACGGCTGGCGAGGCCCGTGGCCTGCGCCCGGGGAAGGACGGCTGCAGACCCCACGCCCCCTCTTCCTCTCTCCTCCTGGGCAGGCGCAGCCAGCCTTCCTGCGGTGGCCAGACGGGGACGCCCCTGTGACAACAGGGACACCTGCACTGGACGAACAAAGTCCCAGCCCCGCATCCACACGGACCCCAGCACCCAACAGCCACTGACAAGGGCCCGTAGCACGGCAGCCTCCCAGAGAACCAAACAGAAATACGGTTACGGGAAGTCACTGGGCAGGACGCATGTGTCCTGCTGCCCCCGAGAAGGAGCAGGGTTGGCAGGTCTGGGAGAGACCCGCTGCCCTCGCCTGCGACCCCGCCTTTGTCACCGAGGACGGGCTCCTCGATTGCAAGTGATGGGCCCTGGGAACAGGTGGGGTGGGGGGTGGGGGGGGTCAAGGCCTCACAGAAATGAAATCCAAAGCCATGGCTCTGTGCTGGTGAGTGAACCCTCACAGCAGCCACGCACCCAGGGGCGCTGGGGGCCAATGAACAGAGCAAGGCCCAGGGCGCACAGGGCACAGGCGGTCCTGCCTGCCCCTCGGACGCCTGTCCTCCGCTCGGCACAGAGAAGAACGTGGAGAATACAGAGAAGAGACATCGGCTTCCTCGAACACTCGGACCGAAGAGCACTGTGTGTTCTCTTCAATCAGCACAGCAAGAAAATGCCACGCTCTTCAAAGTCAAACATCTCGCATGAAGCGTGTCTAACACACATGCCGCTCTGTGAGGTAGGCAGGCACGCCGTGCGTTAGGAAACCAGTGTGAACCGTCTCAGACGCCAAGGAATGGCGTCCGTACACGCACTTCCACACACCGGATCTTTCCGTCTGGAGGTATTGTGAGGGTTTTTACTCACTGACAGCCTTTTCCTGACCATTTGGTCTACAAATGTGGGATGCTGGCACACTGAGTCCTACTCACCGGAAACAGTTTGCTGAGTGAGGGTTTTCAGTTGACTTTGGTCTACACCCCGCCGCAGGAGAGAAAGTTTACTTTTGCTGATGGGGAGTGGCCGATGCGGACGTCCCCCGGGCCTGAACGCAGACGGCTCGTGCAGAAGAGAAAAGCTAACGAGGCCGCCATTCAGAGAGCCCACGGCTCCCACCAGGCAAAGATTCCTCCTCGGTGACACTGTCATTTGGGAAGGGACTTTGCTATTGGGAAGCTCACTCTACAGCACAGTGAAATCAGGCACCGTGTCAGTGACGGAGAAGATCACAAATCAGGGCCCCTGCTGCCAACCCCACGTCACCAGGGCAGAGAGGACTCCGACCAAATGGGTCCAGCTGTGACCCTGTCTGACAACCCCTCAGCTTCCCGTGCATGTCTGCATGGCTGACCCGTCTAGCCTGGAGAGAGGGGGTCGCTTAGGAGGGGCCCAGCAAGGTGGCCGGCGGCCAGAAGGCAGAGGGCAGGTGAACCCTATGGGAGCTGGGTGTCTGAGGAAGACAGTGTGGAAGAGCAGAAAAAGCTGCTTTTCTCCCTCGTTAACGTAAAACGACACACACACTAGACTGACGGGGAGTAGTCTCAGGCTTGCACTACTGACCAAGTGCCCTTGAAGTCACGTTCCTGATTAAAATTAGGGTCCTAAGACGAGAGGGCATGCAAATTTGCTCACCACATGTGGGACCTAATAAACATCCTTGCCCATCATAAAAAAACTTCGACTTAGGGTTTTCCATACATTCTTTTGATCTTCACCTGAGGGTACTGATTTAAGAGAGGAAGGGAGGAGGCTGGAGAGAGAGATTGTGATCGACTTGTTGCCTCCCATAACATGTCCCAACCAGGGATCAAACCTGCAACCTAGATATGTGCCCTGACCAGGAACTGAACCCACAAACTTTCAGTACTCAGGACAACACTTCAACCAACTGAGCCACCGGCCAGGGCACACATCCTTTTATTTTCTATTTTATTTCTAAGGAACAGTGACAAAGTATGGGAAAAAATCTCAACAGAGAATATGCCCACCAGCCCCTAGAGATCAGGGCTGGGAAGAGCGACCCCAGGCAGCCGGGGCGTCTCCGCCCTCAGCCCTGTACAGAGCCCTGTACAAGGACTCTGCCGGGAGGGGCGTCTGGGCAGGGACGACTGGGTGCACACGACTTTTCTGGTGCTCTGAGCAGTTTTATTATAAAGCTTGTGGTGTGTGGTGGGTGCAGAAACGGAAAGTGCCAGGCACTGGGTGCCTCTGCCTCATGGGGTCGACCTAACCAAGAACTTCGCTGATTTCAGAGCCTCGAATGGTGCTCAGAAAACGTCTTCACGCGGGAAACAACAGACCCAGGGCTGCTGAGGGGCTGCCCAGGACGGCACATGGGCTAATTCACCGTGAGCACAGGGCAGGCACCCGGCTCAGGCTGGCGTGAGACTCGCCTGCACAGCTGTCAGAGCTGGGTCCCAGGCGCTGCAGGTCCTACACCTGCGCTGTGGTGACAGTGCACAGGGTGCAGTGACACTGTGCTGTCCACAGAGGCAGGGAATGAGCTGCACCTCCTAGTGGCTGAGTGACTGAGTTCTGGAGGGGTGTGTGTGTGTGTGTGTGTGTGTGTGAGAGAGAGAGAGAGACACGGGGAGGGAGGGAACGGAACACCTGGCACAGAACTTGGGGCCCTCGCTGAGCTGGGCCTAGAGCATTAGCACAAAGACAAGGCCACACCGTCACAAAACTGCACCCCGTGCAGAGGTCACACACACCTCGGCAGTGAGACACCGAGTCACTCTTCTTCAGGAACAGGAAGTGTTGCAGCCTAAAGCTGGGCACTCAATTCCAATCTGTTAGATCATTCGAGTGTCTTCCACAAGTCTTTCCCATTGTCTTTTTTCTTTTTAAATGTTTATTGACTTCAGAGAGAGAGGAGGAATGGAGGGAGAGAAGAAGGGAGCGGAGTGAGAGAGAAAAACATCGATTGGCTGCTTCCCAAATGCACCCTGACTGGGGATCAAATCCACATTTTGGTGTACAGGGCCTCGCTTCAAACCACTGACCCACCGGGACAGGGACTTTCCTGTTCTTTCTGGTCACTGATGACCTCTGGCTCCAAGTCCCTGACAGCCCAGCTATCGTTTTCCTGCCAACTCAGTCCCCCAGCCCCATCAGGCAGCTGTGATCTGGGAGGCGGGGGTGCAGGGGGGGCGGTGAGCCCCAGCCCCACCGCCCACTCGCTGTGCATCACTGAACTGGCATCGTCCGCACCGTCCTCTGCCCACGCCTCTGCCCCCTCCATGACCTGTGTGTACTGCTCCCAGACCCGCTCTGGTTCTGACCGCCGCCCCTTTCATTTCCCACAGCAGTGCCAGAGGCGGCTCTGCAAACATCAGGACGATAGTTCTTACGATAGCGTAGCTTCACAATTTACTTCCAGCCTGCAGGGTGAACCGGCACCGATCCCGCAAAGGGGACAAGGCTCAGGGACGGCAGAGCTGACACAGAAGGAACCTGCGACTCTGGGCATCTCTGGTCTGGGGCGCCCCAGTCCCACAGGTGTATTTAGGGTGCCTCCGTTTCCCTGACCAGCACTGCTCACCTTTACGCTCCTAGGGGAGAGAATCAAACTTCCCCTTGTTAGAGCCGGTGCGGTGTAAAGCCCCCCTGTGCCCCAGGAACACGGTCCCCGGAGTGGGGTGCCTGTGACAGAACCTAGGCGACGCCGGCTCAGTGATCGGGCCGTGGGTGGCGAGTACACGGGCTGCGGGACACAAAGCTAGGCCCTCATCCTGCCGTGGAAACGTCTGAAAATGCTTTGCCGGCAGTGACTCGGAAGAGGTCCTGTGCTTACGGAGCCTGGAGGCCCAGAAGGAGCGGACAGAACGAAGTCAGACGCCGGCTGTGCTGGCAGCTGGCGGCGGCCCCGGACGAGGAGCCGCGACCTAGCCCGGGTGGATAGGGGCGGGCAGTCAGCGGATAGCGGCGCAACACCACAGAGCTGCCGGGGACTCTGCTGCCCCTCCCGCGCCCGCCCGGCGCTTCCGCCTTGAGGCGGGATGCCGCAACGCCACCATCTGCCCCGACCCCGAGCCCTCAAGGCCTCGCAGGGAGCCCCACGCGTCCTTGAGGGTCGCTGGTCTCCCAAGGTTCGGGAGAGTGCGGGTCTGGCAGCACCCTGGCCCCGCACTTCTGCGCAGGCGCGGCCGGAACAAGGCCCCGCCCACTCACAGGGCCCCGCCCCAAACAGACGTGGTCCGGCAGCTGCAGCCACGCCTCCTCGCAGACAGGGCGGGCCACGGGGAAACACGAAGCTCACTGAAGGCCTGCCCCAGGACGCCACCTTCCTGTTCCTAACGCCCAGGCCCCGGGGGACTCACCGCGTCCCCCGGAACCTGCAGCTCGTCCAGCCTCCGCCGACGCCACCGGCCCAGCGCCAGGGTGTCCATGCGACCCACGTGCCCAAGTCCACGGAGCTCTTCCCCAATCGAGGCCGACTGCGTCCGAACCCCTACCCTCACGTGTCAAGGGGGGGGCCAATGAAAGACGGGGGCGGAGTTCTGCAGGAACGCGTGAGTCCCACCCGGCAAGCGCCGCAGGCAGGAATAGCGGAGACCGGAGTCTTTTGGACGTAAAGGATGTCTGTCCCAAGTCATTATTAAGAGCACTGGCCTATCACTTCGATCGCCGAATCGGCGGCGAGCCTCCTAACAATCTATTCTTTAAGTGTCCCGCCACGCTTCCGCCGCAGACCTAAGATCGGCTAGACGGAAACCAGTCTCCTCGGCCTTGCCAAGGCTGGCTTCCTGGCTGGTTGGCTGATAGATGGCGCAGTAAGCCAATCATCATGGGCGAGGCTGTAGGGTCTCTGGGATTTGTAGTCCCTGTGAGGTGGCCTCGCTTCCGGGCAGGATGAATCCCTAAAGGTTTTTCGGGGTTCTGCGGCCTCTAACAGGGTTCGGCCTGGACTGTGGCTTTCTGGCCGGAAACCTCCGGGGCGCCCCACTTCTCTTTAGACTGCGAGCTGTGCTGTCGGCATCCTCCGGTCGTGCAAACGGGGAAACCAAGGTCTCGCATCCCTACCCTCGGGGGTGGGCTTCCGGCTGTGCGCAGGGGTACCCATAGGAATGATGTTGGTAAACCGTGTGCTTAGTTAGCTATGCCGCATTCTTCTAAGTACGTCTACTGCTGTATAGGGTGTTGGCGGAAAGGTACTGGCGACACTTGTCAAAAATGGTAAGGCAGACCTCACTCAGGGCCCGTCCCGACAGGTAGGGGGTTTGCACCAGGAGAGAGGCTGGGCTCAACCCCGACTTCTAGGACAAGTGGGAATTTATAGCCTGTTTACCCAGTGTGTTTACCTAAGTTCTTAATATTTAAAATTTTAAAAACTTTAAAGATAATACAAGACATCTATGATAGTTCGAGTGCTCCTTATTTTCACGTTAAATGCATTCACCATTGGATGAAAACAGGAGGCTTTGTGACATTGGAGTCTTGCAGATGACGCCAAGAACACGGCATCAGAGAAACGTAGCCAAGTTGGGCTATATCAAAATGTGAAACTTATGTATCAAAAGTGACATGCAAATGGTCAACAGGCATTTGAAAAGATGCCCAACATCACTAATCATTAGGGAAACGCAAATCCAAACCACAGTGAGATACCACTGCACCCATTCTGAGGACCGTAATGATAATAATAATGTGTTGGCTAGAATGGGGGGAATCGGAACCGTGGTGCTCTGCTGGCAGGAATGTGAAATGGCGCAGCCACTGCCGAAAGCTGTGGGACAGCTCCTCAGGAACTTGCCCTGTGATTCTACAGTTCCACCTCCGAGTAATGCACTGCAGGGATTAGAGCACCGAGGTTCCAGACACTCCTGTTACTCACAGCAGCCGAAGGTGCAGGTAACCCACATGCATGTCCACAGAGGGATAAATGGGCAAACAAAGGGTGGTGGGTACACACAGTGCAATCTTACTGAGCCTCCGAAAGGAAGGAAATTCTACACCTGCCGTGTCACGCTGAGGGACATACACCGGTCACAGAAGGACAAGTGCACTGTGATTGCGCTATTCGAAGTACTGGAGTGGACGAGCTCATGGAGACAGACAGCAGGGTGGTGGTTTCCAGGGGGCGGGGGAGGGGCTCGGGGACAGAGCTTCCACTTAGGAGATGCAGCGTGTGGGACCTGGATGCAGGTGATGGTCGCACAGTCGAATGTGCTTAATGTCACTGAGCTGCACGTGAAAGAATGGCTACGGTGGCCCGTTTTATGTTTCGTATGTTTTACCACAATAAAGACACAGCTATCAGGAGAAAAGTTCTTTATCCACGCACCCCTGACTGTCCCCGTGCACCCCACCTTCAGAGGAAGGGGCTCAGGAGGAAGGTTACCCGAGTGCCAGCTCCCCTGGGCATTTCCGCCTCCCGGCCTCGCAATCTGGGCCCCTCATTAGTGAGCAGGGGTGCTGACAGGGGCCTACCTCACAGGGCGCTCTGGGTTTCCAGGGAGCCATCTGCACCGTGCAGAGCAGGGCGTCCAGGACACAGCCCCCACTCGTGAGGCGGGCGTGCCGACCTGCAGTCCCTCCCAGCTGAGCGCTGGGCCAGTGGGAGTTCGGAAGGAGTCAGGAGAGGTTCCATTCGCACTTAACTAAGGATGTGTGCTGGGCGAGAGTGGGCCTCTGGGCCTCAGGTCCCTCCTCTGTAAATGGGAGCGCCACAGCCTGCTCCCGGTCACCTGCCTGCCTGCCAGGGACTCAGCACTTCAGGGAGTGGCTGTGGGTCGCCTCCAGCACCTGGCTGAGCACCTGGCCAAGACAGACTATGTGTGTGCACGTGTGTGGCGGGGGTGGGGTTGGTAACACTTGACTCTCAGCTGTGGCAAAGCCACCACTTTTATTCCATTGACTTATCAAAAATTACCGTCTTCTTATCTCAATTGGGCTGTAAAAGAGTGTGTGTGTGTGTGTGTCCCCTCCCCCTGGCACGGAGCCTTGCACACAGTAGTGGTTTGACAAATACGCCTTCCCTTCTTTCTTGCCCTCTTACTTAAAAAAAAATCCCACCATTTCTTGGGCACTAATATAAAGTTGCATTTTTTTCTTTGAAATTCACAGTTTATTTGGACGTTAAAATAACAGTTACCGTCTCCCCCTGGAAACACTTCCTCCCAACCTGGGACAGCTGTCTCCTTGTTTTTAGGATGTTGAGGGAACACCCCACCCCAGGGAGGCCAGGCGACCCCCCCCCAGACTGGAGCAGCCACCATGCGCTCCCATAGGCCACTCATCTCAGGTGGCCTCTCTCTTACCAACTAGTGTCTAGTGTTCTGTGTCCCCCTCCAGAATTCCTGGTCCCCTGCCCCAACAGAGCCAGGTCAGAACTCAGGACGTAACTGTCGATAGGGCTTCAGAGCCTCTGCTAGTCAGTGTGGTGTCACTGATGGGGTCCCCAGGGCAACCCTGCAGGAGCATCTTCCCTTCAGGCTGAGAAAGAGGCTCAGAGACGTTACCTGCTGTGCCCAGGGTGCAGGAGGATGAAGTGAAGGCCTGAATTAAGACACAGTTCTGCGCTTCCGCCCTCCGCCTTTGGTTCTGGGTCACAGCCACCGGACTGAGCTGCAGGCCTTCCTGCAAATAATTGAGCTCCTCTGGCTACCCAAGGGCCTCACCTCCCCAGCACAGGCTTCCAGGGCCCGGGGGCTCAGGTGGCTGTCCCAAGGTGTCCTCTGCTGGACGGATCTCTCTTCTGAACGCCCACCTTGCATTTGAATCAAGTTGTGCACTGCAGACTGTGCGATCATTCTCTTCTTGAGAATCTTTGCCCCAGCGTCCAGCATGGCCCCGGGGGCACTCAGGGCAAGGCCACATATTTACCTGTGGCACCTGCTGCAGCCGGGGCCTGGGGAGGCCTCCGAGAGCCGTCAGCTCAAGACATCCAACGTCACCCCCCTCCACCTCTGGTCTCTGCAATTACCACCCCTTACTCCACAGTTTGAACCACGACGTTACTGAAGGCAGGCAGGTCAGGGCTGCCTCCCGGCCCACGCCTGGCCCTCGCCTCCACCTGGGCCATCAGCTCCACGGTGCCCAGGCAGCTGGCCCACTCCCTGTGGATGGGCGGCCTGTCCCAGGAGGACTGGGGTCCGTAGGGCGCCCCTGTCCCTGCAAGGTCAGCACATGTGTCACGGTCTTGTTCCGGTCTTCTTATCTCAGGTTGTTCATTTTTTAAATGGCAAGACGCAGGACAAGACGTTCCTAGACGCAATCCGTATAATGGTCTAGATAGACCTACTTCATTAAGGCAAAAGCACAGTAACAACCCACTGCTTTTGGACTCTAAACATATTCGTGGAGAGCTTGGTGATCTGAGCCAGTGCCCTAAGTTACTCCCCGGTGGTTTAAGCGTGCTCTTCGGGGGTGACAGAAAACAGGTGATTATTTTTCACCAGAAGACCCTGGGACCAGGGCGCAGAGAGGTCACCGTGAGCCACTCTGGGCTGTGCCCCGCCCCTTCCAAGACGCAACTGGAAACTCCTGCTGCTCACAAAGGGAGGCTTTTATCATCTGCCCCGCTGCCTTTTCTCCACAGGTGCAGTAGATAAAAATGTTCGTAAACCGCAAATGTGCCTTCAAAAATCAACAGTTCTAGGTCTGAGCACGTGTGCACTGTACTCCGTCTGAACCCATCCCTGCTCCTGATCTCCCTCTCGGTGGCATTTGCTAATGGTCACACAAAGGACGCTCGCTGTGCTGTGCAATGAATGCTTCGAACAGAGATGAAATTTGAGTATGTTTTATATTTCGTCCTAAAATCCTTTTATTTGCAAGTGGATGAAGTCACTCGGCTTATGTTTGATCATCCACTTTGGCATGTACTTCCCTATGAATTAGAGTTTCCTATAAATTATAGGGTGTTTTGCTTCTCGGCTCTCACACCACCGTACGGAGAAACCCTCCGCACGTGGAAATATGACGGGTGTCACATCAGTGCCGGGCTTGGAAATAATAAGGATTATAAATGACTCGCCAGGTATAGAGAGCGGGGGGGGGGGGACGGCGGGAAGAAGTAAACAGTCTTCTTTATGCTCAGCCTGAAGAAGGCACCGCCAGAGATATATCACTGTTCACCTGGTTTTTATTTCTAAGGGGGTTTTATGAACCCCTTTTTATCAATCAAAAGAAATTGATTGCTAGTGAATGCAATATTTTCTGACTATTTGAAAGTATAAAACAGAAGCAAAGACACACAAAGTCACCCATCACATGTCCCAGTAAACGAGAGACACACGCCCTCCAACGAGACTGCTAAATGGTGTTAAAGGCTTTTATGGATGCTCCTCAAAATGGGACGTTTCCTTTAAAGGTAGGAGTGGGTCTTGGGCCCGTCTGGCATCCGGCCTGATCCTGCCGTGGCAGTGACCGGGCATCCCAGACCGCTCTTCTTTAATATTCGTGCCCCACCGGAAGAGGACGTATTTCTGTAGGGAAGATACATGTGTGGCTAATAATGACTCAGTTCTGGGCAGGGACTGATGTAATGACCCGATTCAAGGAGAAGGAGAGCTGGGGGCCTGACAAGGGCCTCCCGAAGTGCGGTCCAGCCACCTCTAGTGGTGACACTGATGGCAAATGCTTGGGAACGATTCAATAAACTTCTTCCCCGTAGGTGAGAACCTCACTCTTGGTCCTCCCCAGTCTGGGAAGAAGCCCAGAGAGCTTGGGACAACTGGAGTAAGACCCAGCACT